AGCGACGCAGAACTGCGAGTCCGATCGTGCGGACACTCGCGCGCACGTTCTCCGCGTGAGCTCGCGCGTCGGCGCCCTCGCCTCCACTGCAGCCTGCCGTGTGGGCGCCCCACGCAAGCCACGAAAGCGGCCCGTTTCCTAGGTCTTCGACGAATGCGGGATGACGATTAATAAAAGAAATGGGAGAGAGCGATTAAACAAATAGTTTCCTGATATTTCTGCACCATTTTCTGACTGGAGGAGAACGATTAAAAGAACAGTTTTCCAGCCCGCGGCCGGTTTTTTCTAGTCGTCATCCCGGGCGCCGCCGCGTGAACACGACCCCCGGTCATTTATTAATCTTCATCCTCCATTATGGACCACCTGGGAGCCATCCAGCTGTCGCGCCGATCACCGCTGGAAACCGCCAAAGACCGCCGAAGACCGTCAGAAGACCGCCCAAGACTACCGAAGACCGCCGAAGACCGCCCGAAGACCGCCGAAGACCGCCGAAGACCGACGGAGACCGCCCGAAGACCGCCGAAGGCCGCCGAAGACGGTCCAGGAGCAATGGGCAACAAGGGGCCCATGGTCGAACACGTAGCGTTTCTTTTTGTCGCTCATCCGGCGGCTCGATTTTTCCGAGACGTCGCCCCCCCAGACTCAAGTCGGGCACGTCCCTCGACAGGAGGAATACTCAAGAGTAGTAAGAACATGGTCTGGTGACTTTTGCTCGTATTCTTATGCTTCTGATTATCGTGAGACAGGAGTAGTAAGAACATAGTCTGGTGACTTTTGTTCGTATTCTTATGCTTTTGATTATCGCTAGACAGGAGTAGTAAGAACATAGTCTGGTGACTTTCGTTCGTATTCTTATGCTTTTGACTATCGTTAGACAGTGTGCGATTTGCCTTCCGAATTCCGCCTCTGGGAGGACATGCCCGACCTAACCCCCGACCCCCTTTGACCGCTTCCGCGGGGCCTGCTGTTCGCCGGGAAGGAAACAACACACACACAAGACACACTGAATCGTCGATCCCCCAGGACAGATGGGAAAATATTGGAAGTGGGAGGGAAGACGAACACCCAGAGAACACGGGAAACTAGGAGGAATCCTGCGATCTGTGTCTATTCATTTGTGTGTTTGTGTGTGTGTGTGTTTGTGTGTGTGTGTGTGTCTGTGTGTGTGTCTGTGTGTGTGTGTATGTGTGTCTGTGTGTGTGTGTGTGTGTCCCAGGGCCCTGTCAGTTTGCCCGGAGCCGATGTTTGGCGCCCCCGGGCGCCCCGCGCCGGCCTCCGAGGGCCCACGGCGTTGCGAAAAAAAACTTGCTCTCTCGATGCCTGCGCGCCGCGAGATGCCCGGGTGACCCGGGCCCCTCCGTCGGTCACCACCCACCAAGCCACCCCAACCCAACCCGAAGGCCTCAATTTGCCTTCCATTTCCAGTGGGGGGGGGGTGTCGGGGAACGTTGAAGAAACACATGGAACCCGTACCCCCCCCAACCCGAAATTGGGGCCTTCGGGTTGGGTTGGGGTGGTCGGGTGGGTAGTCAATCGGGGGCGGCAAAGAGGAGGGTGATGGCTAAGGGGGGGTGGATATCGTGGCGTGGGCCATGATATCGCTAAGGCCTTACGGCCGGTGCCGCCGGCCCTGGATACCTCGGCCCTCGAGGGTGACGGGATGCGTGATAAGGTCGTCGGAGGTACATAATGAAGACGTGGCGGAGGAGGAGGGAGGAGGAGGAGGAGGAGGAGGAGATGGAGGAAGAGGAGGAGGAGGAGGAGGAGGAGGGGGAGGATGGGGAGGAGGGGGAGGGGGAGGGGGCAAGTTAGGTGCGCTCGCGTCAACATCTGCATCCTACCCCTCCCTCCCATCCCTTACCATGGCGCTGATTTTCTCTATCCGCGGACGCGTGTCGTAGCGGACCTGTGGCTCCGCGCGCGTGTGCGTAGTGGGTGGTGGTGCGCGTGCGTGCGTGCGTGTGTGCGTGGTTGTGGTTGTTGTGGTGGTGTGTATGTGTGTGTGTGTGTGTGTGTGTGTGCGCGTGTGCTGTGGTGTGACGTGGTGTGGCGTCTTGGTGGTTTGGTGGTGGGCCAGGTGCGTACGTGCGTGATGGCGGTAGTGGTGGTGGCGGTGGTGGTGGCGGTGGTGGTGTGTGTGTGTGTGTCTGTGTGTGTGTGCGTGTGTGCGTGTGTGCGTGTGTGTGTGTGTGTGTGTGTGTGTGTGTGTGTGTGTGTGTGTGTGTGTGTGTGTGTGTGTGTGTGTGCGTGCGTGCGTGCGTGCGTGCGTGCGTGCGTGCGTGCGTGCGTGCGTGCGTGCGTGCGTGCGTGCGTGCGTGCGTGCGTGCGTGTCTGTGTGCGCGCGTGTGATGTGGTGTGACGCGGTGTAGCGTGGTGGTGGTGGGTGGGGTAGTGCGGTGGTGGTGGCGGTGCGCGGTGGTGGTGCGCGTGCGTGCGTGCGTGCGTTGGTGGGTGGAAGTGGCGGTGGGTGTGCGTGCGGCGGGGCGGGGCGTGGTGCGGCGCGGTGGTGGCGGGCGGATGGGCGCGCGAGAAAGAGGCCCGCGCTGGGGCGAGAACGCCATCCTGAACGACGGAGGCAAAACACCGATCAGAAAATGAGGCCCACGCTGCAGCGGGAGCACGATTCGGAACGATTCGGGAGCAGAAATGAGGCCGCCGCCTCAGCGAGAGCAGCATTTTGAAAAAACGCAGGCGAAAACCGAACTCTGGGGAATCGTGTCTGCAAAAAAACAGTACGCGGGGGGGGGGGGGGGGGGGGGGGGGGGGGGGGGGGGGGGGGGGGGGGGGGCGAATACGCAAAAGACGTCATCAGGGGAAGAGGGAGAGTAGTATTCATATTGAGTAATTGTAGAGGGAGGGAGAGGGTCGCCCGGGGGATGCGTATCTGCCCCCCCCCCGGTGGGGAGGGTAGGGAGGGGCTTCGCCACGACTACGATTTCCTTTTGTTTCGTGTTCTATTTTTTTTTATTTCGGGCGACGACGATGACGACGACGACGACGACGACGGTGATCCACGCAAGACGACGACACCGGGATACGTCTTCCACACGCCGGCAGGGTCTATCGGGGGGTGGATATCATGGCGTGGGCCATGATATTTCCTCAGATTTCATGGCGCCTCTTCTTATTTCATTGCGTCCCTGGCCCCCTCCAATGGCCGCGCACATGCCGCTGGCCATGATTTGCGCCCCCCCCTCTTGGACGCCCCCCTCTTGGCCGCCCCCGACTCCACAAGCATACGTAGCACCTCGCAGATGCGGATAAGAGCGAGGGGGCGGCAGGGACGTCGGCAGTCTGCGAGACTCTAGAGAAGCCCGCCGCAGGCGCCAGAGTTTCACAACTCGTTCAACGAATCCGTCGCAGGCGTCGATTTTTCCTGCAAGCCAAGGTGGATCGGTCGCGGGTGGGTCGCGGGTGACCCAGAGACCTCCGCAAAAATATGTACACACATCCGCCCTCGAGTGAATTGTTCCTGGGCCTCACGGGAGGCCTGGCGGTGTACAAATCACCACCGAGGGCCAGCGGTTTTATTCACCGCCGCCCCCCCTAAAGGTACGTGCGAGGTTCTTCGGGGGGGGTCAGTGTATATGAGGCGTTCCAGGAAGGGCCCTGCCTTCGAGGCTCGAAGGAGCTGTCATCTCTTCCGCCGCGGAAGGGCGGCGGAAGGTCGGCGGAAGTAAGACGGAGCCGCCTCCGCCAGCGGAAGCCGGCGGAACACTCGGGGGCAGGCGGCCGAAGGGATCAGTGCGCCCCCCAAGAGATGAAAACGCTTCTGGGCTCAGGGTTTCCGAAATCCGCGATACGTCTGGGAATCAGGAGGGGAAAACACACACACACACACACAGACACAAGTAATCGTCGACCCCCAGGAGGATCTGGGGAAATCTGGGAAATGGGGGGGGGGACGACGAGAACCCGGAAAACGTGGGAAAGCATCGGGAGTCCTGTTCTTTGTGTCTACTTCTCTGCGTGTCCCTGGGCCCCTTGGATGGAAGGCGTGCAGACTCTGCGTTTGACCACCAGCGCTCGGCGGCGCCGCTCTCCCGCTCCCTGGCCGCGGGGCGGGCTGGGGGCACGGCCTTGGCGCCCGACCGGCACACCCGAGACTGCGTCGGGCACGTCCCGCTGCAGGAGGAAGGCTCGAGGATAGCTAAAGAGTCGTCTGGGGACGATACTTCGCTGGTTTTTTTCTACCATCGCAGGCCTCGAGATTGACACCAACACCAATATCGGCGGCGTGCCTCCACCGAGGGATGAAGATCCGGGTCTCGGTGATGGTGGTAATATTTTGGTTTCCAAGGTGGCCGAAATATTACCACCAGCACCGAAATATAGGATTATCATCCCCCTGTGGAGGCAACTCCCTGTGTTGGTGTTGGTGCCAATTTCCAGGCCTCCAATACCATGTTTGCATACACTTGGCCTAGTTGTTCTTTGACTCCCAGAACCCGCCTCCGGGGAATAATCAACGATAACTGTGGCCAATCGTGGAGGAAACCAAGCCAACGTGGAAGCTGAATGTGAAGATCAACAACTCCTTGCCGAAGATATTATGTAGTGATATAGATTATCTCTTGCCAAAACTGTGTGTGTGTGAAGCCGAAGATGTAGATCATCAGCCACTTGCCGAAGAAAGAAACATGTGTGAAATTGAAGATGTAGATCGTCCAATCCTACTCCTACTCCTCGTTGTCCTCCTCATAAGCATACCATCATCACCATAATCGTCATCATCAGCAACACCAGCTTCACCACTAGCAAGCATCATCATCATCACTGTCAGCATCATCATCATAATCATCATCCTGCCCCTCCTCCTCATCATCACACGTACCATCAGCATCCTCATCATCACCACCATCGTCGTCACCCCCACCACCATCATCATCATCATCATCATCATCATCATCATCATCATCATCATCATCATCATCATCATCATCATCATCATCATCATCATCACAGCATCTTCATCAGCATCATCACCATCATCATCAGCATCATTATCATCTTACGCATCTCAATCATCAGCATCACTGTCTCCTCCAGTTGCTTTCCAATTCCTCCTCCAGTTTCCTTCGCTAACTCCTCCTCCCAGTTCTCCAGTTCCCTCAGATGACTTCATGTTTCCTATAGCTGTTATTTGCTGGTTCTTTTCTCTGTTGCCCTTCTCGGTGGACCGCAGCTTCCTTGCCTTCCTTCCCGTCGCTTCTCCGGCCTTCACAGTGTATTTCTGCTCCATCCTCCCCCCTCCAGCTCCCCCCTGGCTCCCGCCAGCTCCCCCCTCTTCCGTAGCCCTTTTGGCTCCAGCGCCCGGGGAGCGCACCGCGGCGGCACGAGGACGGCCCCGCGCCCCGCGTCTCGCGTCTCGCGCGCCAAGGCGCGACCGATGCCGCCCGGGCGCGCTCCAGGGCTGGCCTGCGGCTGCCTCGCCCTCGGCGCCGCGCGCGCCGCGGCCGAGGTGCGGCTGAGCCCGGCCCTGCAGGAGGCGGCCTCGCAGGTCGGGTGCTGCAAAGGGGGGGTGATCGGTATCGTTTCACCGTTCCCCATCCCCACCCCCATCCCCCTCGAGACCCCCACCAAATGACCCCCCCGGCTGGGGATACGCCCCTCGAAGCCCGAAGGGAGCGACCTGTATCCCCATCCAGGGGGTAAATCGGCCAGTGGGGCCCAGGCCACGCCGCTGGGGATGGGGATCGGTTAAGCGATATTCAGGTGATGTCTCATGGCGGAGGCCATGATATCTCCCCCGATGTCATGTCGCCTCTCCTTATTTCAAGACGTCCCCGCCCCCCCCCCCTTGGCCGCGCACGTGCCGCTGGCCATGATTCGCCCCCCCCCTCTTTGACACCCCCCTCTTGGACGCCCCCGAGCAGGCGGAGGCTGAGCGGGCGGTACAAGGCATCGCGGACATGGACTGCTGGGAAAAGCACATCACTTACGAGCCGCTGGACATGAAGGACGGCGCGGGGGCCATCAACGTGACGAGGGAGGCCACACCGCTGGCGTGTCAGCAGCGCTGTGAGCAGACCTCGGAGTGCATGCACTTCGCGTACTGGGTGCCGCAGGGCGACTGCCACCTGCAGGATGTGTTTGCCATCCGCAACACAAATCGCATCGGCTTCGTTTCTGGCCCGCAGCGGTGCTACAGGGACGATGAGGATGCGCTCAGCCACGGCATGGCCAGGCTGCGGTCCAAGGGGGTCGGGGACTACACCTTCGTGCCCGTCGAGTTCAGCTGCCTGGAGGTGAGCACGATGTACAATGGCTTCCGAAACGTCCAGCCCACGAGCTTCAACGTCACCCCCGCCGACCAGGACCCCCTGCAGGCGATGAGCCGGTGCCAGCAGCTCTGCCGGGACACCGAGGGCTGCGCGCACTTCACCATCGGCGCGCCCGGGCTCCAGTGCGCGCTCGCGGGTGCGAAGGCGCCCTCCGTGTTCCCCATCTTCAGGCACGTGTCTGGCCCCCCCGGCAACTGCACCGAGCTCCTGTACCAGGAGATCGGCCGACCGACGCAGACCACCACAGCCGTGGCGAGCACGGACTTGGGGGAGGCCGCGCCCGAGCAGCGTGGGGCCATACGGGCAGACGGGTCCGGCGCCCCCGCGTGGCTCTGGGCGGTCGTGGCCCTGGCCGGCTTGTGCTGCCTGGCCGCGGTGATTGCGGCGGCAGGGATGAGCTCTGCCAAGAAGGAGAGAAAGACGAGGAGCATCGAGCGCCTCGAGGACGATTCGCGGCCGGACTCGTTCATGGCGGACAACTTTCTGTCAGAGGATCCGCCGACGCGCGAGGCTTCGGCGAGCCTCCCCGCGCAGGCGGCGGCCACGCTGCGGGCGCCCATGCAGGGCCCGCTGCGGCCGATGCTGACGGCGCTCACCCAGTGGCCGTGGTCCCCGTGGGCGCCGGCGCAGCGGCAGTTCCGCTACACGGCGGTGCCTTCCACCGAGAAGACGGTGAGCGGATTCGACTCAATCGATCTCAACCACGACGGTGTCATCGATCGTAACGAGTTCAACCAGGCGCTTGCACGCAGCCAGCCGCGGGCCACCACGTACGCCATCCCGCGGGCCGCCACCTACGCCCACCCGCGGGCCGCCACGTTCGTTGCCAGCCCGCGAGCTCCGCCCATGGCGAGCGTGCGGGTGACCGGGCCCAGCCTGAACCGCGGCGGCATCCCCGACGCCCTGCAGCAGGCTCCTGCACCGTCGGCGCAGGCCTTCTCGGTGCCGGCGCGCGCGAGGCAGCCGCCGCTGCAGCCGGCGAGGCTGCTGTCGGCGCCGCGCTTGCCGCACGCGCCGCAGGCGCCGGCGAGGCTGGCGTCGGCCAGCCCGCGGCTGCTGCCGGCGCCACCCCACGCTGCGCGGCAGGCACCGCCCCTGGCGGGCGCGCGGCTGCGGTCGGAGCCCGTGGCCGGGTGCGGCCAGCGCTAAAGGCCTGGGCGACTGGGCGAGCAGGGTCTCAACGCCACTCCTCCAGTGTCAAGTCGGGCCTGTCCCTCCACAGGAGGAACATTCCAAACATAGCAAGGAAAGTCGGGGGACGCTTTCTTGAAACAGACTTTTCAGCATTTTCGAGGATTTTGGGGGCACTTTTGATTTTCCAAAATCCCCCTGTAGGGTGACACGCCCGACCTAACTCCGTTGTCCTTCTCCCGAGGAAGAAGTGACGGCAGAAGCAGAACCTCTTGGCGCTCCGCGCGGGTTCGTCGGACCGGCGCTGGGCCCCCCTCCCTGGCGGCGCCTCTGGCGCCGCCCCGCGCGCCATAGGGCGGGGGGGGTCCAGCGCAGATCCAAGAAGTCCAGGCGGAGCGCCGAAAGCTTATGTTTGCGCAGACTTTTCTCCTTGCATCCTCGCCTTCCCGCGCACGTCTCTGGCTGCCAGCCCCGCTGCGCGACCACCCGCGCGCCCCCGGGCGCACGCAGCGTGCGCCGACGGCTCGGCAACACACACACACACACACACGCACACACGCACAAAGACACACACAGACACACACACAGACACACACAGAGACACACACACACAGACACACACACACAGACACACACAGACACACACACACACAGACACACAGACACACACACAGACACACACAGACACACACAGACACACAGAGACACACACAGAGACACACAGACACACACACAGACACACACACACAGAGACACACAGAGACACAGACACACGCACACACACACACACACACACACACGCACACACACACACGCACACACACACACACACACACACGCACACACGCACACGCACCACGCACACGCACACGCACACGCACACGCACACGCACACGCACACGCACACGCACACGCACACGCACACGCACACGCACACGCACACGCACACGCACACGCACACGCACACGCACACGCACACGCACACGCACACGCACACGCACACGCACACGCACACGCACACGCACACGCACACGCACACGCACACGCACACGCACACGCACACGCACACGCACACGCACACGCACACGCACACGCACACGCACACACGCACACGCACACGCACAACGCACACGCACACGCACACGCACACGCACACGCACACGCACACGCACACGCACACGCACACGCACACGCACACGCACACGCACACGCACACGCACACGCACACGCACACGCACACGCACACGCACACGCACACGCACACGCACACGCACACGCACACGCACACGCACACGCACACGCACACGCACACGCACACGCACACGCACACGCACACGCACACGCACACGCACACGCACACGCACACGCACACGCACACGCACACGCACACACACACACACACACACACACACACACACACACACGCACAACCGCGCACACACACGCACACACACACAACCACACACACACACACACACCGGGCAGGGCCGATTCTGTGGGTTCCGGGCCGATTTCGGTGGGTTTTGGTTTCCTGGGCTCCCGGGTTCCCGGTCGATCCCCTCAGCGAAAACCATCCACTGATTGGGGTTTCTCTCTGGTGTAATTTGGTACCCATACCGCCACTCCCCAGACCTCTCCCAGTGTGCACTCTGACTATAGAATCTCGAAGCGGATCCAGCCGAAGGCGACAAGGGTCTCCGGGAGGCCCGAAGGGCCAAAACAAGGGAATGGTAGCCGTATGCCTTCAGATAACGACCAGAGCCCCGGACCCCATCTTTCGACGTCATTTTTCGAGCCCGATCGATCTGTGAGGATCCCGTGGCCCGAGTTTGGCCGAAGACGCCCGGGGTGAAATAGTTGCAGCGCCCGGATCTCAGTGTGGGTACCTTGGGGGCGAAGCGAGAAGGGGCGGGCCTTCGCAGAAGGCTCGGAAGTCCCCTGGCCTCCTGAGAAATGTTTTATAATTTTTCCCGAAGACGCAGAGAACTTCTCAGAAGGCGCGAGGGCCTCTGAGAAGTCCCGCCGCCTTCTGAGAAGGCCTTCTCTCAAGGGCGGAACAACCACCCGGACCGGACAATTGGCGCCCTTTTATAACGGCCCTGGACGTTTACCAGATAGCCTTGCCCTGTTCGATTCCTTCTTTGGGCGCGTTTACGGAACGACTTCGCGTGTCGGGGTGGTTATGATGGGGGTGGATCTTTTGACTCCCATTCTCCTTCTTCTCGTTCCCCCCCCTCACTCACCGCCGACTCGGGTGAGTAGGGTCGGGTGACACGGGCCGGGTGAAACAGGCCATGTGGAACAGGTTAGTGTGCTCCCCCTCTTCTCGTCCCTCCCCGTCCCCATCGGGGGGAGGTCGCAGCACTGCTCAACGATATGCTGTGTGCCAAACCGCTCAGGTTGGGGCTCTTCTCGAATCCGTGCTGCGGTACGGATCATAAGCGCGCCCTCGTCTCCGCCGTCGTCGTTGGCATCGTCATGGTCGTGATGCGTGTTGCTCTGCTCGAGACTTGTTTCTCTTACGCAGTGACTGCCACCTCTCCCTCCCCCCTTGCCCGCCCCATCCCCCTCCTCCGTCACCATTC